CCAAGCTTCAAAAACTCATTTGGAGGAAGCTGAACCAAGTGATTTCTAAGACCTTCTTAGTTTTTAATTCAGCATCTCCTTAGCCCAGTCCCAGGACTCTGACAGTCATATCACTAAATGCTTCTCAAGGGCTTATGTGTGTCATCACTGTACAATTCTCTGGGGAGATGCAGATGAATGAGGAGCTCAAACAGCTTGCATTGTGTGATAGAAATCATTATTATCCCTATTTAACAAAGAGCAGAGAAAAGTTAAATACCTTGCCCAAAGTCACAGAGTTAGTTAAATGACAAAGCCTCAATTCAAACTCAGGTCTATCTTACTTGGAAGCCTAGAGCCCCTTTGGGCCCTACTGAGGATGCTCAGAGGGAAGCATCCTGACCAGAGCCACCAGGTCCAGTAGTGTCCTTTCCCCTGTGGCATGTTGCCTCCAAATTTGAAGATTCCTCTGCCTGTATTGATAGGGTTACCAGATTTAGCAAATAAAAATATAATACACTGTGACATTTAAATTTCAGATAAGCAATTCAACATTTTTAGCCTAAGTGTATTCCATGTAGTACATGGGTGACGCTAATTCTAAACATTTCTTTTTAATTATTGCCTGTCTGAAATTCAAATTTAACTAGGCATCCTGTATTTTATCTGGCAATACTATCTGGTAAAATCTTTTCTTCTAAACACATGTGAAGAAGTCAAGATAGTGAAGGGCTGCAAGGAGGGGGTCCAGGCAGGTTGCTACTCCTACCCCTTGCTGGCAGGCATTCTTATATCTCAGTCAGTTGGTGGACACACAGCAGAATGTGGACTTCTTGTTCTATGTTGTGCCAAGTCAGCCGTGGGAGCTCTGCCCAGTACTGTTTTAGAGAAGCCATTGCCACTCCTGCTAAAGGAAAACCAGCTGACTAGAGATGTGGACACAGCCTTTCCCCTGAACCCATTCCAGCTTTCCCTTTTCCCCAGCCTGGTCTGCAGGACAAGAGCCTGCAGCCGCTAGTGACCTCTTCCAGGAGGACCAGGCAGAGGGTGAGGAGCTGCCCTTTGGTTCCCTGGTTCCCCGGTCCCCACAATATCAAGTGATGGGTTGAAGAGGACGCTGTCATGAGACCCAGACAAAGCTCAATCTCAGCATAGCTACTTTCTGGTTCTGTGAACTTGGGCAGTTTATTTAAACCCTTGAACTCCAACTTCCTGTAAAATGGGATGAGAAGAGGTCAGACTATTAGAATGAACAAATGAGTTAATTACTTTAAAACTCTATAAAAACATAAGAAGCTATATTTTAACATCATGTCCATATGGAAACTATTTTTTTCATTTTTTGTGGTTAAAGTATCTGAGACATAGAACATTTTATTATGAAAGGAAAATATAAACACATTTTAAAAGCTTTTTATAGTCACCCTTGTATCTCAACAGCATCTCGTTATGGTTGACCTTTGATCTTTAGTGTAGTATACTGAGAAATTTTTTGAAAATCTAAAAATTCTTTAGTACCACTGGGGAACTTAACTTACCCCAGAAATTGCATATGCAGGATTGAGAAATTCACTCTATGCTGCCTGATGCACCAAGATTCAAACCTATGATTTGGCAACATCCTAAATTATAACTCACCATGGACCCTTTTAATCTCTATACGAACTAGCAAAGTGAATATTTTCTGTCAACACCAAGAGTAACACTATTTTCAATCATTTTTGTGTACGTCCTTCCAAGCTCTGTGTGTGTGTTTCAGATAGTTATAATTATGATATCTGTGTATTTATATCCTGCTTTTTCCACTGTAAATAGTCTCTTACAAATTTGTCCAGGTGACTGCATAGTCTAAAAACCACCAATTTTAATTATTGCCTAGCTATTTCAAGTTACTCTACTATCATGTATCATTTCTTCTTTCTGGATATTTGCTGCTTCTAAGTGGCTTTTGACGGTCACTTTGAAGGTGGCATGTGGAAGGGTAGGCACCATGTATACACCACTTTCACCCTTTAGGTTCCCCACCCTCTGACATACACGTACACACACACACACACACACACACACACACACACACACACACCCCTCTACCAGGGAAGAATCCTAAACAGTTTCAAGGGTGTTCAATCCAGGGGATGAGGAGAGTGAAAGAAGAGGCCAGGACCCACTGTCTTTCTAAATGTAAAACTACGGTACCTTTGACAAAGTGCTAACCCTACCTTAGATCTTATGTGTACCCGGGATTTGGGGTAAAGGGTTAAGAACACAGTTGCTTCCTCTTCTTCCTCTTCTTTTCTGTCCCTTAAACTGCACCCTCCCCAACACCTACTACAGTGATATTAAAGCAGTATGGACCCAAAAGAGTGTCCTTAAAAAGAAAAATTGATTCTTGTTGGTATGCAGAAGAACCACCTATGCAGCCTGGCTGAGTGCTTCCAATCATAGACTCTGGCCCTGTCTTTGAATCCTGACTCCTGCACTTATGAGCCCCAACTCTTAAGCGGGTTGCTTAACCTCTCTGTGTCTTGTTGCCTCGTTTATAAAATGGGGGAAATGATGAGACCTACCTCTTGGGTCCTTTGAGAAATAGATATGAGAGAGAGGTATTGGGGCGACACCTGTGAAGAATAAAGGGGGAGGGAGTAGGAGGAGTTGGGGGTGAGTAGAGCCTTCAGACTGTAGTACAGGTCAACCACCTGTGAAGAGAGAGCAGGAGGGAGTGAGTAAGAGACCCTGGGCTGCAGGGCAGCCTGGGGAGAATTTCTCCAGCTCAGTCAGACCAGTGGGAAGTTCCTGCCCCTGCAGAGTCTCAGTTGGGCAGAAATGGTTAACTCTACACTCCCTCCATGCTCAGTCATTAAGCAATCCAGGGAGAGTGTGGCAGCTAAAGGCTGTCCACCAGTTGCCCTCCCTCAGCAGGTTCCCTTAAGACAGTTCTGAACCACACACCTTTGTGACTGACGTGACCTCACTGGGTTAAGTAAAGCACTTAGGACAATACATGACACATTGGAGGCACCGTGAAAGCTAAAACTGCTACCACTGTTTTATAGCATATGTTATAATTCACCAAGCTCTTTCACATATATTTTTTCACTTGATCATCACAATCACCCCATGCAGCCCATACTTCATCTCCATTTGACAGACGAGAAGAAGGCTTCGAGAAGCCCCATAACCTGCCCAAAGTCATAGAGCTGAGAGTGGTGGAGGTGACACTGGACTGTAAGCCCCCGAGGGTCGGGGTGTAGGCCCACTGGTCCTAATCTTTGTGTCCTGCACCAGCAGTTCAGATGGAGGTGAAGATAACACAAAACCTTGTCCTCTAGGAACTTATATTTTTAGTGAGTCAGACAAAAACATAGATAATTCCTGGAAATTCTAACACATGGAATTACCTCCCATCTCTCAAATATACCAGGTACTTCCTCCTCCTGCCTCCAGCCCTCAACCTTTCTGCATGCTGACTTCTCAGCCTAGAGGCCCACCTGCTGAAATCTGCCCGTCTCTTCCTGGCTGACCATTTTCTGCATGACACAATCCCAATCTGCACACCAAGGGGAATTTCTTCACTCATCACTGTGCCTGCATGTGCCACACTTTGTTTCAGAGCAGCGCCACTCTGCCCTGCAGTAGAATGTGTTAGTTTACTCAGCAGTCACCTGTCAGCACTAGAAGGCAACAACCATTTCTTACTTTTCTACAAGTCCCCCACTGGGCCCAGTGTCCGCAACAGTAATGACAAATAAATGTGTTACGCATGAATGAGTCCACTGAATCTGTGATTGGGTGGGAGGAATGGAAGATGTGGAAAGTAAGTCAGCCAGCGGGAGTGGTCATTCACACCGACGTCGACACAGATAACCCAATAGCATTTGATTGCTGTGAAGGAAAGAGCTGCAGGAGGTTGGGTGGAGGGGCCCTAAAGACAGGCTAAGTGTTAAGGTGAGCATCTTTCTTGAAATGAAATTCCTGGTTGTTTCATTCTATGCTTGTATCCTCAGGGCCTAGCACAATGTGAGGCACATGGTAGGTATTCAGTAAGATTTCAAGGAGGGAGGGAGGGAAGGAAGGGAGAGGAAAAGAGAGGAATGAAAAGGATAGAAAAGTGGGTTGGTTTTCTAATATAACTCCAGACCAGGGACTCTGGATGAGACCCAATGCCTCAATGCAAGATGCTGCCTAAAGTGGGCTACAATGGATCTCAACCAGTGACAGTTTTGTCCCTAAGAAGACCTTCATCAATGTCTCAAGACATTTCTTTTTCTTTTTCTTTTTCTTTTTTGAGACAGGGTCTCATTCTGTTGCCCAGGCTAGAGTGGCGCGATCATGGCTCACTGCAGCCTTGGCCTCCCAGAATCAAGTGATCCTCCTGCCTCAGCCTCCTGAGTAGCTGGGACCAAAGACACACACCACCATGCCCAGCTAATTTTTAAACTTTTTTTGTAGATATGGGGTCTCACTGTGTTGGCCAGGACAGTCTCAGACTCCTGGGCTCAAGAGATCCTTCTACCTTGGCCTCCCAAAGTGCTGAGATTACAGGCATGAGCCATCACATCAGGCCTTGAAGACATTTTTGACAGTTACAGCTGTGAGTGTTGCTAGAATCTAGTGGCTAGAGGCCAAAGATGCTGACAAATATCCTACAGTGTGCATGTCAGCCCTCATGTTAAAGAATTATCCCAGCCAAAATGCGAGTAGTGCCGCTGTTGAGAAATCCTGAAATAACCCTAGAGCCTGCAGATGGAGGTTGAAAGACTGTGTTTGAGAGAGGCTTGCCTGGTTCAAAGCATCCTTGGTTTCTAAAATGGGGACCACCTGAGAGTCCACCCTTAGTCACTGGCTTAGCCTCCAAACCCTTTCAGAGATGACACCTGGGCAGGGGGGTCCAGTCAGCTTCCTACTTCCTCCTCTCCTCCTACCTCCTGGTTCATCCCAGTAAACCTGGATACTTGTTGGGAAAAAAAAAAAAAAGTGGAACACCGGGAGTAGGCTCAGTCAATGGGTGCTATCTGTTCCAGGAGCTGCTCAGAGACCCTCTGTACATCGGCCTGAAACACCAGCGTGTGCGCGGGAAGGCGTATGATGACTTGCTGGACGAATTCATGCAGGCTGTGACAGACAAGTAAGTGGACCCAGTCTGTCCCTTTTGAAAGAGGACTTTTAAGAGATGCTGTGACTGAAATCAACACTGGTTTTGGCAGATACATAAAGAAAAGGCAGTAGATACATGCTTTTCCAGGTATTCTGAAAATTCCAACTTGACCCCTTGGGTTGATAAGACTGGACGCCAAATGGGCTCACTCTCTAGGAGAATCTCTGGGAAGAGAAGGGAGGGAAGGAGAGGGCTGATGGCTGAAGGCTGTGATCTGGAGGTAGTTAAGTATCTGTTGTCACGGGAGAAAAACCTCTTGGCCTGAGCTGTTTAGGATTCTCATCACAAGTAGGGATGTTGCAAGTGGTGGAGGAAAGATGTGTGCTCTTCTGATGAAATAACTTTGGAAGGCAGCATGTCACATTTGGTTATTTTCCACCTCTTTGTGAGAACAAGGAAGTGTTAATGAGGCACTGTGGCAGACCACATGGGATCTGGGCCTGCAAGATTTATGAGGTGTCATCTCTTCACTGGGGTGCACAATATTGGCAGCTTCTCCCCCGCTCGCCTGCCCCATCTGTCTGCCATCGTGACCACCCACTTACCATGCTGTGGCTGATGTGCTGCTGGGATGGAGGCCTGATGATAGCCCTCACACACCCATGTTTAGTCTGAGAGAAAAGCTGGTCAAGCCAGAGTTTCGGCAGCTCAGTGGGCCTCTGAAGACAAAGCAGGTGCCCTTCTCACTTGCAAAGCACCAGCCTTCTTACTGCCCCAAAATTGCACAGATTTGGCAGAGCTGATCTGCCCATCCTTGGCAAAGTGCTCCCTTGCCCAGTCTCAGCCTCTTGAACCAGCACAGTCGGCTGGAGCCCACAAAGTCTCATCTGGGTGGGCTTTAGGGGTGGGAAAACTGTGATTTGATCTTTGTCCCCTCCACTTTTTAGATATGTGACTTTGACCAGGTTAGTAAACTTTTCTGAATCTCCTTATCTTGTTTCCTTATCTGGATATAAAAAAAAAGTTTTTGTTGTTGTGTTTTGTTTTTTAAGATGAGAGTAAAATAATATTGTGGTTTATAAGGTGGAAATGATCCTGTCAAAAGAGGAAATGAATGATGGACTGCAGGATAGGGCGCAAAAGTCCTCGAGTAAGCAAGCAGGACAGAGGATCCATTGCACACCTGAAGAGCTCAGTCTTGGAGCACAGAAAACCAACCACAGGGAGAAAGGGAAGGTAGAGAACGGGGCCCTGTTGGAGCAGGCAGGTAGATGTGTTGGTGGGAGTGAGGGGGAGTCCCATTCGCTTGAAGACAAGGTCATCAGCATAGAGTGAGGATGGGGAGGTTTAAGGATAGAGGAAGTAGAACCTAGTCATCTAGGAGAGTGGCAGAATGTCCAGACTGGGAAGCTAGAACATGATCACTGGGCACCTCTCTGGGCCCCCTTGGAGTTACTGTTTATGAATTTAACTTAAGCTAGTTAATTTCCTCTAGCAAAGTTCAATTGTCTGGGTCCAAGGGCAGGAAGATGAAGACAGCAGAGTGTAATCAGGGTTGAGGATTTTGCCAGGCAAGAGAAAAAGGGAAAGAGCCAAAGAGTTGAGTGTCTACTCAAGGGAACAGTTATAATTTTGTCATGAGCTCTAGGCTGGTTAAGAGGGGAGGGAATAGGAGGGACAAGGGACAGTGAAAGGGTGATCAATGGAAAGTAAGTTCTGGTGAGGTTTAGAAACTGTTGAGTCAGGTAGTAGATGGAATAAGCTGGAAAGAAAGGAGGTGGTGATCAGAAAGCTAGATGTTTGCTGCTGAAGGAGGAAGGGCTGCTATTGAGACGTGGCCACCAAATAAGGCAAATCCAAGTGTCAACTGCATTAACAGAGGCACAGCATCTAGGACAAGGGAGGTGGATGTTGTTCTTTATTCTCTCCCTTTCAGAAATCCTGAATACCATAACCAGTGCAAGAGAAGCTACATTGAGGTTTATAAATTACCTAAAGTGCCTTTGGAGAGCAATAACCATGACAGTGAAGAGAACCAAAAGCTGAGCCTGGTAGAGAGAATACTCAGAGACTGCTCTGTCTATGTTAGGGACATGGTAGCACCTCCAGATTCTAAAAGCTGTTCTTTCAGAAGAGAGTTGGACTTGTTTCTACATATTTACATGAAGAAGAACCAATTGGTGGAATGCTAAAGGAAGCAGTTTTCAGCTCAAAATAAATCAGAGCTATCTCACATTGCACTGGAGTGTCTGTGGGAATGAGTTCCCTGTCACAGAAAGAGTTCAAGGATAAGTTCCGTGGCTTATATGTGGTGATATTATAGAAAGGAATTCAAGCATCAGATATTCTTTAAGCTGCCTTCCCACCTCAGTATTCTATTCCAACCTCTTAAAAAATCCTCTGTAGGTAGCCAGATAGGTATTATTATTCCCATTATGCAAGAGAAAACTGAGACTCAGAGAGGCCAAGTTAGCTATCTCAGGTCACAAAGTACCTGTCAGGACTGCAAGCTGAACCTGGGACTACTGACTCCAAGTACAGGCTGCTTTCTATAATGCTGTGTCACCTGTGGATGAAAAGAGAAGGAAAGGAAGTTGGCTTTGAAAGCCCACTGTTTGCTTCCTGTTTCCAGGGCTCACTGCTTATCTAATGATTCAGTAATCATTCTGTGATTCCCCAAAGAGAAGTATTGCTATTCATGTGAGAAGGTTAAATAAACTAGGATGTGAGAGGCTGTTCAAATTATCATCAAAATCAGTTCACAGTTTTACAGACACACACAGGCAGTCCAGGGGATGACCCTTGGGGAGGGGCATGCGTCAGCCAACAGGAATGTGTCCTTAAACAGAAAAGATGATGAATTGATGGTTGGTTGTTTTGACTTTCTAATAAGCTATAGCAGATGTTTCTGTGGATACTGTAGGTGGGGAATGAGCTGGTTTCCCCAAGCAATCCTGGGAATACAGTAGCTCCAAGACAGAATGCCCAGCCTGGGGGTGAGTCAGGAGTTCCAAAGTCAAACACAACATATTTTAAGAAAGAACCTTGGGAAGTGTTGACTCCTGCTTTCAACATCCTCGTCTCTGTCCAAACATCCTGCTAATAAAAAGCTCCACCTTCCTGGCCCTACCCACTAATAGGGATGTGTGTTTTTTTTGGCCTGAAATAAATGTACTGTGGCTTAGTTCCTGTCCTGGAGCTTGGCCACTAAGGAGAACCTGCCAGGACAAAAGGAATCTCCATTTAGGTCTGTGAACCACAGCAACAGACAGCTGGGAGTGTCCTTCTCAAAGCTGAGACAAAGACTGATGGCAAGGACTGATTGCCTCATTTTTCCTGCTCTTTCTCTGCCATGCAGTGGATGGGAGCATTGTACCCAAACACCACCTCCTGCTGTCACAAGTTTTCCCTGATGGTTTCCATTCACAATTTTCATTTCTGTTACTTACAGTAGCATGGATGAGAATTGTCTATGTTTTAAGTTTGCACCTGGAGCCCTAGCTCTGTCTGATAATTGGCTTGGGCTGGACAGAAGCTTGATGTCAGCAGCAGCTTGGGCCTTTAGGCAGACCAGGAGAGGAAACCACCCCCTTCATCCCTAGTTCCAAAACCCTAAATACAGGGATTCTTAAGCTGCTTAGATGAGAGTGTTTAAAAAGGGAAATGATAAAGAAACATTACTTTTTACAAAGTCACCTACTTTTTAGCTTCAAGAAAAATTTTTCTTTTAGTCTATCCATTTTTTATCTTGTGCATTCACTCTCACTCACTCTCTCTCTCTCTCTTTTCTCTCCCTCCCCTCAACCATAATCACACACACACGCTTCATCCTTGAGATTCACACCATACTGGAAATCACAATTTTACTATTAGTGCTCCGTGTAGAAAGTTCTAGTTTTCACAGAAAATACAGCCGTGGGCCTCTCTGATATCTGGAGCCAGTTACCACAGGCCCACCCCTTCATGTTACCTTCCAAATTTGATGTGACCCCCACCCCCCGTCCTTCCGGAGCCAACCCTGCCTTCTCCAGCATTCATTCTCTGTGTCACTTCAACCTAAATGTGACCCTTCCCATTCCTTCTCCCCTCTGCTACTCGTCCCACTTGTTTCTACCCTTACATTTGGAGGGCTACTCTAAACATTTCTGTTCAACTATATGTGCTGTCGGAATGGCTAGATGGCTCTCCTATGCCCTGATCAGATTTACAGGGATGAAAGGAATTGTGACTTGTTGGGCCTCTGTGCAGAGCAGAGCACCAAAATTCAAAGTTAAAGCTAAAAACAAGGAGATGAGATTCCAAGACTGTTCACTTGCCTCTTGATCTGTGGTGTCAATGAACACATCTATGTTTCTTTTGCTGTGTAACAAACCACCCCAAATCTTAGTGGCTTAACATTTTATTTGCTCTTTATTCTTGCAAGCTGAACTGACTCAGCTAAAGTGGTTTTTCTCCTGTTCTTGCCAATGGTCACACACATAAGGCTGCTTTCAGCTAGCTAACTAGCTGGGAGCAGGCTCAGCTGGGACACTAGACAGGCTGGGCTCCTCTGTGCCAGCTGGAACTGGCACAGTCTAACTTCCACCACATTATACTGGTTGAAGCAAATCACAGGTCCATACTAGAGTCCAAGGGAGGAGGTTATACAAGGACATAAATACTAGGTGGCATGGCGACCACCAATGTCAGAGACTGCCACACCCCATCTAGCCTGGGAGGGATGAGGAATGGGGCAGCCTGCACTATAGGAGGGCATGAGAAAAGAATCACTCAGTTACACAGCTAAGCAGGGGAATGGTATATAAAATCAATGAGCATGTCTACCTAGTACTTGCTGTAAACCAGACACTGAACCATGCATAGTGAGCAATACACAGAGAAATAAACAGAAATAAACACTTTCTTAGCCTCTGAGTCTCTGTGTAAGTCTGCAGCTCAAGAAGAGTTCTGGGGCAGAAACATAAAGTTGCAAGTTGCCAATCCATAGATAGTATTAATATCAAGGGAATGACTGAGTTTGCCCAGAGAAA